ACTGGCCCATTTGTTTGTTCCAGAGAAGCAGTGAGAGTGGCCCAATCCCTTTCAGGTTTGAAAACATGTGGCTCACTCATTTAGATTTCAAAGAGAAGGTTAAGGTTTGGTGGAATAGCCTGGAACAAACATCATTGTGGTATGGCCAAAAATTCCTAAAAAAGCTTCAGTTGCTCGAAAATAAATTAGAAAGTGGAATAGGGAGAAGTTTGGAAGCTTGAAGGAGAAAAAAGTTGATTTGGTTTCCAAAATTGAGGTAATTGATAGCAAGGAAGTGGTGGGTTCTCTTGGTGTGGGTGATAGGGAGTTGAGGTGGTCTTTGAAGAAGGAGCTTGGGGAAACTTTGCTAAGAGAAGAAATAAGTTGGAAGCAAAAATCAAGAGAGAAATGGATAAAAGAATGGGATGGTAACCCAAAATTTTTCCATGCCGTCGCAAATGGAAGGAGAAGGAAGAGCTTGATTAGCTCTTTAATGGTGGGGAAAATGAGGTTATAGACTAGATAGAGATTGCAAAGGCTTTTTCGGAGCATTTCAGGTCTATTTATAGAAGGCCTCTAAATGAAAGGTGGTCGACTAGAGGGTTAGATTGGGAGACTTTGGGGGCAATGCAAGTGCAATTTTTGGAGAGAAGGTTTGAAGAGGATGAGATCAAGGAAGCAATTTTCTCTATGAATAGATCAAAAGATCCAGGGCCCAATGGATTCACAATGGCATTTTTTCAAGATTGATGGGACATAATTAAGGAGATCTCCTCGTTAGATAAGTGTATGCCTTTAGCTCTAATCAGTTGGAGGCCGATTTTGGGACAGATTTTAGACGTGAACTACCACTCTAGGAGCTGCGTTTTGTGGTCTCCATATAAGGTATGATCAATTTTAATTTGGGTTTTAAATTTGGTCCAGTTCAGTGCAATATCGATCCAGAAATTTCAGATTTCAAAATTACCAGGAAATCGGTTCCTATGTTGGGTTAGAAAATTTTTGTAAATTCAGCCAGCCAACAAACCTGGTTTGGCCTTGTCAAACCTGATTTCTAATCCTTCCAACACTCCTCAGGGTGTTTAGTGAATTCTATAGAAGAGGGGTAATCAGCCCGGGGATGAATTCTACTTATTTAGCGTTGACCCCAAAGAAGAACAATGCTATCTGGCCTAGTGATTTTAGGCCCATTAGCCTAGTCACCAATATTTACAAGATAGCAAAAGTGTTGTCTTTAAGGATTAAGAATGTGATCCCCCCTTTGATTTTGCAGTCTCAAGGGGCGTTTGTCCAGGATAGGCAGGATCATTGATCAAATTTTTATTGCTAATGAATGTGTGGACGCTCAAAAAAGATTGAAGAGAACGGGAGTGGCAATCAAATTGGACTTGGAGAAAGCCTATGATTTGGTGGATTGGAATTTCTTATTTGATATTATGAGGTGTGGTTTTGGATATCTGTGGTGTAGATGGATAAAGGGTTTCTTGCAGTCTAGTCACTACTCAATCATTGTTAATGGGATGGTGTGTGATTTCTTTGAGGGATTTTATGGACTTAAGGGTGGCCCCCTCTCTCCCTTTCTATTCACTTTGGTTGCTGAAGTTCTAAGCAAATTGTTTACAGCTTTTAGGGGCTGGTCAGTAGGGAGAGATAATATTTTGATCACTCACTTGCAGTTTGCAGACAATGTTCTAATTTTTTGTGATGGAGACTGTAGTGAAGGGGTGGAAAACTTGAGGATTAACTGGTCTAAGAGCCTAGTGGTTGGAACCATCATTGAAGAGAATCTATTGAGGAGCATGGCAGATTCCCTAGGTTGTGATAAAGGAGATTGACCAATGAAATACTTAGGTTTACCCTTAGGAGATAACCCTAGATCAGCTAGTTTTTGGTCCCTAGTGGTGGAGAGGGTTGAGAAGAGATCAGTTGGGTTGAAGAGGAACTATATCTCGATGGGGGGGGGGGGAGATATTAACCCTTATTAAGTCTACCCTAGCAAATCTTCCAGTGACATGTTAGTGTTTAGAATGCCACAGGAGATAGTGAGAAAAGTTGCAAAAACCATGAGGGATTTTCTTTGGGAGCCTAGGGAAAAAAAGAAGGATCACTTGGTTAAATGGGAAAAGGTGATGAAATTGAAACCAGGTGGGATGAGAATCGGTAATGTTAAGTTGAAAAATCAGGCTTTACTCAGCAAATGGTTGTGGAGATTTCCCAATGAAAGTGAGAAGCTATGGCACAAGGTTGTGGAAAGTATTCATAGCAAATCAAGCAATGGATGTGATGATGGGCATCTTCGTAGAGCTACCTTGGCTCCCCCTGGAAGGCCATCCATGATTTTCTTCCTACCTTCTTACACCATATCAGGTATGATTTGGCATCTGGTCAGAAAATCAGGTTCTAGGAGGATGTGTGGATCAGGGATACTCCTTTAGGTGACAGGTTTCCTTCTCTTTTTGCCCTTTCCAGGTTTAAAGGTAAGCCTATTTCTAACTTCCTAGACCAGCATCACCTTTCTTCAGGACTGAACTGGAATTTTAGCTTCATTAGGAACCTTAGAGAATCTGAACTTTCTATTGGTGACTGAACATTTGAGCTTGTTGAATTCAGTTTTCTTCAGTGAAGGTGGTTCGGATTCTAGAGTCTGGGGTTCTAACTCTAATGGGTTGTTCTCTTGTAAGTCCTTACATTCTTTGGTAGCCACCTCTAAAATCAGTGCTTTCTGTTGGGAAGTGTTTCATGGTTACATAAACACCTTTGATTTACTCCAAGGAAAAAAACCAAATTGGTGTTTCATGGTCTGTTTAACCCTATTGGCATTAGCTGTACAAAAAAAGAGGGGTGGGACTTTGTGGAGATGCACTAGAGCAGCACTACCTTGCACTGTATGGGAGGAAAGAAATGCAAGAATTTGTGAAGAAAAGGAAGCTTTGGTAGAAACAATTACCTTGAGGGTGGCACATTAGGCAAAGAGTCTGAAGCTGTTCTCAAATTTCAAGATTGAAGATTTCTTCAGAGCTTGGGGTGTTATTGCTGCATCCTCAACTACAAGACAAAGATCTGTTGAGGCTTGGTCTCCTCCAATAATTGGCTGGAAGAAACTGAATTTTGATGGGAGCTGTTTGGGTAATCTGGGCCCCTCAGGTATGGGGAGGCCACTAGGAATGAAGAGGGGAATATAATTGCTTTATACTCATGCCATGTGGAGCAAGGTGATGTGGCAAGACAGTTTTTTGCTGCAGTTTATGGGGTTGAGAAGGCAAAAGAACTGGATATTAGTAGGTTGATTATTGAGGGAGATTTGAAAACTGTGGTTTAAGTGGCTGGGTAAGGGGGAGGGACTGGCTTGGCATTCGAGGAATGATTTTGGAAATTCAAATGGCTGTCACAGGATATGTCAATCCGAGTGAGATGGGTGAGAACTGCTAACAGCTTGGTAGATAGCCTAGCCAAACAAGGGGTACATAGAGCACATATGTTTTGGGCTCAAGTGTAATTTGTATTGGGATAGCTCCTAAAGCTGGTTTCTTTCACAACTTGTTGTAATCCTGATTTCTTTTAATTAATGAAATCTTTTTCTGTGTTTCTGATCCAAAAAAATGGTGACATGGTAAAAGCTATTGATGGCGGTGATTCAGGTTTCAGGGTTGTCTGAGGTGAAGATGCGAGCCTGTTAGGGTAAGGGACAGAACTGGTGGAGGTCTGAGAGAAAGCTAACAAGGAGATGAGATGGTCTGTGATTTTGTAGGGTTTCAGAGGCCAGAGAGGTGCAGGTTATATTGGTTCAAGTAGTGGGCAAAGAGCAGACAATGCCCAGGTTGGCTGGAACACAGTACTGTCTAAACAAGGGGAAGGAAAAGGACGGAAGATCTCCTTCACTGAGTTAGAAGAGTGGAATGGATGACAGAGGAAGATGTGAAATGGAGAATGAGCTTGAACCAGTGGTGTGTGGAGGTGAATAGAGAAGGAAGTGAAAGAAGGCTCTCTTAAAGGCATGCTTGGTAGGGAACACCACTTCAAAACTATCGACTGAGTAGCTTCAGGCTTGGGCTAAGAGGAGATGGATGCTAGAGGTTGGAGTGAGGACAAGGAAGGTACTAGAATCATGACTATTATTTGTTTTCCTCAACAAGGAAGAGGTGAGAAGGGTCTGGACTCTGGTGATAGGAATGTTAAGGGCAATATTCTCCACCTTGTTTGGACTTGTGCAAGTAAGGCTGGAATTCGATCGTCAGGAATTTATATTGGGTTAACATATTTGGTCTACCACTTCATTTTTGGAGGTGTGGTGAAATAGATAGGGGAGGTGTGTGGTGGCTATGTTGAAATGGATAATTCCCAACATGAGTATCGGTGTGTGTAGATATTTTAATCATTGGTCTAAGTTAGTTGCTCAAGCAAGGTCATGATTCAACAGTTAGGCTCAACTTGAGAGAAATTAAGCATTATGTGAGATGGGTATTTTTTTTCCCTTTCAGTTTTCATTATAAATAATAGTAATGGGTTAAAAGCCCTACTTTTTTGTCTCCCATATTGGCTTATTTCCTTCTCTCTCTCTCTCTCTCTCTCTCTCTCTCTGAGCTTAACTGTGATGCAATTACTCTCTCTGCTTGATCTAGAGGGATAGTATCTAGGTGTTGCAGTGCAAATTGCCATTGATTCAATTGCAGGATGGCCATTATCGCTCATCCAGTTTTTATTGTGGGTCTTTGCCTTGATCAATTGTCAGCTTGTTTGTCATGGTGATTATTAGTTTTCTTGGTGCTCGGTAGGAGTCCATCCTGGGCATGTTGCTTTCTTAACTTTAGTGTATATTGCATTTCTCTCTTGTTCCTTGATAAATAACTTATGCGTATGAAAACATATAAACTCTGCTGTTGAATTATTACAACCACCAAGCTCACAAATTTAACGGAGTCGATTGACTGGATATTTTTAAAGCAACCAGAAATGCACTTGATATTTGTGTTTGTGGATGATTTATGAACACGGGTTATTAATCGTTGCTTTCTTCCTTCCAGCACGAACAGGACTGAGATAAGAGGCTGGTGGAGTAACTCCAGAGCTGTCGGCGTTTGTCAATTCATGTAGTTTTATTTTGTTCATCTTGAGAATGTCGGATTTTTTAATGGGTTCTGTCCGGGTACCCTGATGGGTCAACCGTCACTGAATATGCCTAGAAAGGTCTTACATACCCTAGCCCTCTTTTAAAGGGAAAAAACAAAACTGTATCCTGAATGTCCAAGTTAAGCGCCCCAAATTTAGAATGCATTTTGGGGTATTTTACGCAAGTTTTAAAGCATTGAGCCATCGATACATATATCGGCCTATACAGTCCAATTGTATTTTTTTTGTTAAAACGGTCCAATACGTATTAGATCTAGAATAACAGACACTTGGCATAATAGGAAAATAGGAGTTTCGAAAAAGTTATTTAGCATCGACACGGTATCAATGAGTGTATCTCTATGTATCACATTCTTGTGAATGGAAGTTGGTTGAAATTTTGTCAATGAGCGTGTATCATGCATCACATGCTTGTGAATGGACGTTGGTTTAATTTTTAGGGTGTTTTAGTGTTTTAATCCTTCTAACACCATCCAGACACGACCCCTCTCCCTTTCAAAAGAAAAAAAAAAAATCCATGCAAGGTATAATTACTCTGTCATTATTTCTCATGCATCTAAGCTATTTTTTAATTAAAACTTGCATTTATAATTACTACTTAATAATGTAATTTAAGAATATGAACATGTTATATTGCTTAAAACATTAAATATTTAACGCGTGTAATTTGCAGGAAGTTATCATTTAGCGTATTATTAAGAGGTTTGACCGTTTGGACTGAATTTCATTTAAATATGCTAAAACAATTAATTTAGCAATTTTTATTGTTTAAAATTCAATAGTTGGTTTTGAAATTTTGAATATAAATGTGATAACTTTCTGCGTTAGATTTATGAATTTTATCATTCTAATTTTTATGTATTCAATATTATATATAATCATTATTAATTCTTAATTAAAATTGCAATAAATAATACCAAATTAATGGTTTATGCATTTAACTTATATAGTTGATTGACATAATGTTTTGATGGTTTATAGAGCGAAATATAACTAAAATATAATTGACTCTGACTTTAATGATTGCATTTGCGTATGTTGTGTTTTGGTTAGGGGTGGTCATGAGTCGAGCTCTTTATGAGCTACTCGAGCTCAGCTTGGCTCGGTTTCAACGAAACTTCAAGCTGAGCTTGAGCCCAATTTTCAGGCTCGTTTATTAATCAAGCCGAGCTTGAATAATAATAATATTTTTGTATACAATAATAACTGATTATTATAATTCATAATTTTTTTAGATATTAAATAAAAAATATTTTTATATATGTTTTTTATTTTTATAAAACATTTTTTCTCAAGTCGAGCTCGAGCCGAGCTTGAGCTTACGAGTTTTTGACTCGAGTTGAGCTTGAGCTCAAGGTTCTAGCTTGAACTAAGATTGAGCTCGAGCTCGAGCCTCATACTTCCTTGGCAAGCCGAGCTCAAGCCTTGTATTATTTGGCTCGGCTCGGCTCGAAACCACCCCTAGTTTTGGTTGATAAATGTAATATTAAGTACTAAATTAAATATAATTTTTAGGTTTACTATATATTTCCTATGGTTACTACTATTTAATACAAAATAAATAATTTAGTAATGGGTTGATGCATGTAGTAGTTGATTATAACACCAAAGTATATAATGAATTGATGATGATAAGCACATTACAGTATATTTTGATTGCTAGGTAAAAGGATTAGATGATGCATTATCCTTGAGGGTAGGGGTGTCAAAGCACATTGCAATATATTTTGATTGCTAGGTAAAAGGATTAGATGATGCATTATCCTTGAGGGTAGGGGTGTCAATTGGACTGGATTTGGTCCAACGACTCCAATCCAATCCAGTTTAATGAGTCCATTACAAATGGATTAGGTCCAATCCAATCCAATGAATATTTTAAACCATTTTGACCGGTCCAAATCAATGTCTGGACCGTCCAATCTGTTCAAATTCGTTTTAATTAGATTGGTTCCAATGTAAACTTAGTCCATTGACACCTATATTCTTATCTTATATCAATGGATCGGATATTGGCTCAATCCGATCCAATTCAATATAAATTCATTACGGATGGACCAAGTCAAATCCAATTTAATATACTTTGGACCATTAAGTCTGGATTGGTCCAATTCAATGTCTTGTTGATCTGTCCAATCTGTCCAAATTGATTTTGGTTTAGACGGGTCCCCGGTCCATTGACACCCCCTTTTAGAATTTTCTAGATCTTAATCGCAACTAATTCTGTGCAGTTAAAAACCTTGTTGCACTGACATGTACAAGAAAGATTAGCCAACCCAGCAGGCAGCAGCAAATCTATTACCCTCTCGGAGACTATTCTTAGAGGATAGCTCCATTTGGCTTTACTCGTTGCCCACCAATACTAGATGCTACCAATACTAAGTCACTTAAATAGATTTAATCCATTACCATAGTAAGAGGAGAAGGTAACCAATATATTATTCCTTCCACTCCGAATCAAACCTCCACATCCACTTGTCCCTGGATTCCCTTTGAGTGGGTTGTACATAAACCAGTCTCACCTTCCTAGGTGTTGAAACCTGTTGTTTTAAGCCCAATATATACAAAGTGAGTTGCTGAGATGGAGTTAAACTATTCTTAAAAGTACATGGTAAACACTGAATAATACTCCGAATAACAAAAGCTTGAAGAACGGGATGTTCTTAGCCCAAAAAGATTGAACCTTGTTGGGTAGAAAGGTAGGAATTTCAAATCTTGATCAGCCCAAAAAAGGTGGAAATCGAATTTTCATGAGAAAATTCCCAAATTGCAAGATACCATCATATTTTATTTCAGAGATTGAGTATAATGTTACTTAATTTGGATACCACAAATCAAACTCCCAAATTGTTGTAACACGCCCAAGAATTCAAAGTTGAACTCCAAGCTGAAGATAGCACAACCCAAAATTGCAAGAATTTGATCCTAGTCAATAGTGTGAATTGATGCGCATTTCAATTGTCTTGTTGAATGCAGAAGTTGATCACTCAAAAGGTCTGTATTTCTGCTTGAAAAATTCAGAGAGAAAAGAAAAGAATGTCCCCTTTCAACCTCGGTCAAACTAGGGTTTGGAAGAACAATGCTTGATGTTAATGTCTCTCAAATTCTCCTATACTTTATCTTATAATCTGAAGTCCTATAATCCTAAAAAGAGTTTCCTAATTGATGTAGGGATACTTGGCGGACCTCAGATTACGCCACATGGCGTCGGCCAGATCAAATCCTGGCCACACATGAATTGGACCAAAAAGTAAAATTGGATGAATTTGTGAAGCGAAACCCTACGTTGGTAGAAACCGATCCCCTCCTAGCTCATGCCCAAGGGGGAAGAATTAACGTAGTATGAGCATCGGGTCAATACCAACCAGACATGTTGATAAGAAACTTGAACAAAGCCTGGAGCTCCAACACTTTTTTAGTAAGCAAGGGGCAAACACTTCGACAATGAAATTAGTCATCAGGGCACTAGCGGAAGTCTTTAAGAGACCGTTGGAACCTTACTGGCCTAATTGAACCAGTGTAGAATTTACCTTGGAAGACATGCTGGCCACGAACCCTCACCATAATCAACCCTTATATGTTACAACAAGGGTGGGAGGTTTCAAGATGAGAAGGTCCATGGTCGACCCCGGGAGTTCTGTCAACTTAATCTCTGTCCATACACTGAAGTTGATGAACAACAGGAGACAACCAAGGGCTTACCTATGGAGGTGACCGACTTTAATAGGAACGTGTCCGTTATGGAAGGATCCATCGAACTACAAGTAGTGATCGGACCGTTCTCCATCATGCAAGAGTTTCAAGTCATCTCAGGAAGGACCACCTACCATACCCTCCTAGGGCGACCTCTGGTACATAGCCTAGCCTTGGTCCCATCAACATTCCACAATGCATAAAGGCCAAGCACAAGGGATGCATGATAAAAATCTCAGCCACCAAAGTCCCTTTTGATAGATCGGAGGCTCACCTACAGGATGCCATTTATTACACAGAGCTGGCAGACAAGGGAGAAACAAAGATAGCCACAGTAGAAGGACTGCAGCTACTAGACCTTGTGCGGGACAAGCTTTCAGTGGCGACGGAAAAGAAGAAAAGGACCAGATGTGTACGGGTGACCGGTGGCAATGGAAAGAGCTACTACACCATCGTCACAGATTATGAAGACGACAGACCATCGACAGCTAAGAGATCCATTCCTGAGATATAAGTTTACGGTAATTCCAAATTATGATTTATCTTATGATATTCTGAGCATGATATGTGTAACTTTATCGCAAGTCATAGTTACTACCATTAAGTTATTTCCAAGACATATATGCATACTTTTCTTTGGACATATGAGTGTGCCACAAGCTATCCTCAAATAACATAAGCAAGACAATCGTAAATTTCCCCTAACAAAACTCTAAGTAATGTTTCAATCAGAATTATTTCACTAGGCCATTCCCATAGAAGGACATTGTCATAGTTTCATCGCAAAAAGATGCATCGCAACCTGAACAAGTATTGCAAACACTAGAGGCACGGCAGTGAAATGTACTAAATTCGTGATTAATAACGGAACCAGAAAACGCTAAGTGCTACTTGCGATAACAGGAACAAAGAGAAGGGACCTTAGAGTATTGCAATGAAATCCAAGAACCTCCCAAGTGCATGATTGATTCCACCGATGCGGTGGAAGAACCTTTAGAAGAAATCAATATGGCCACGGAAGGAATGGAGAAAAGGCCATTGTACATATCCACCAGACTAGGACCTGAAGAGAAGAAAAAATTAATCGCACTAATGAAAGGTAAGAACCTTTCTTCATCACAAGATACTAAGACATGTTTAAAAGATTGATTGATCTGTGTGTATTTTCACAGAATTCCAAGATGTCTTTGCTTAGTCATATGACTAGATGCCAGGCTTAAACTTGGCCCTCGTCATACACCCTTTATGTATAGATCCCAAGGTCAAGCCCGTAAAGCAGCTCCAAAGGGTTTTTAAGTCAGAGGTAGCCCTGAAGATCAAAGAAGAAGTTGAGCAGCTCCTAAAAGTAGGGTTCATCAAACCTATAGCGCACCCTCAGTGGCTAGCCAACATAGTGCCAGTCGAGAAGAAGAATGGACAACTCAGGTTAGTACCTTAAGTTTAGTTACTTGGACGAGCCCTTAGCGCATTACTGAAAACTAACCCCTCCCAACCTTATCGCAGATGTTGCGTAGATTTTAGGGACTTGAGTAAAGCCTGCCCCAAGGACAAATTTTCCCTTCCGAACATGGAGGTTTTGATAGATTCGACGACGGGGAACCAACTCTTCTCCTTCTTAGATGCCTACAACGGGTACAACCAAATTTTCATGGACCCCACAGATGCACCTCACACAGCCTTTAGGATGCCAATTGGA